CGGATCCTGACCCCCCCCGACCGCCTCCCTTTAAACAATTCGTTTTAGATAGTTTGAGGATGTGAAAAGTTGTTTTTATGTATCTGAGTTAGTTAGTTTTTCAACCACTGTGCCTCGGTACTTTAGTGTGGTGTTAGTGATGGTCAGGTGTGCCGTAGAAAATCATCCTATTTCACCTAATTGGTCTAAAAAGATTTTTTTGATAAGGAATTAATTTTCTTCAAATAATATTCCATTTTTGAGTGTCTGTGCTGTTCTAGTGACTGGTGGAGTAATCATGTAATAATTCCTTATGACTAGATTTTGTACATAATTTTATATATTGAAGTGGACATGTTAAGAGCAATTTGAAAGAAGAAATATAAAATATGATGAAAATACATTTTTGTGTTTATTTGATTCCTATTCAAGACACTTAAGATAAGATAAGAATAAAATAAGAATAACTATATAGTGTTACTGTAGGCGGATACAGATTTGTTTAACATTTTTGGTTGGTGGTGTGCCTCGAGATTTTTTCAATGAAAAACTGTACCTTGGCTCAAAAAAGGTTGAAAAACACTGCTCTAGGGGGCGCTGTCCACCGATAAAGAGGGGAGAGATCAGCAGGTGTGGGGCTCTGCTGCCCCCTGGAGGCTGTAGGTGGTATTACAGACATTTGATTAAATGTTCCCAAACCAAAATCAGACTAAATGTAAATGTGAAGAATAGATTCTCCTTTTGTCTCATTGTGTTTGATTAAAATAGCAGGACGGAGGCTAAAAGTCTTAATTTGCTTGTAAAAATGGCGTCTTGGCCCTTTTTGTTGACCTCCAGGTTGGTTGTGAGTCAGAAAAAAAGGCGTAAATCTGTTTCAGTGGTCCAAATAAATCGTGTTTTCATTAGCAGATTCTGTGTGTATCATTTCAGATTTTTTTTTTAGGCCTGCGGACGGAAGAATTGCAGTTTTTTTGTGCTCTGAGGGGCTTTTTGTGGCTCTTACAGCAAATCAACACGAAACTCTGAGATTTCGCTATTTTCCTGAGACGAAGAGCCTTTTTCCAGCCGGTTGGTTAAGTCTGGACTGATGTGAATCCCAGACTTACCACATCTGAGTGAGACAGAAACCAGACTGAACACCTCATAGAAGAACAGGGTCACTGGATACCTGGAATATAAGTGTCAGATTCCCTAAATGCAATTAAAATCAGTTAGCTTGAAACCACTGGAAGTTATAAACAAGATCAATTGTTGTAATGACTAAGCTGTCCCTGATTGTAATCCGCATAACTTTAAGTAACAAAGGAATTTCTATAAAAGTCAAATTAAAGAAACAGTTTTTAACACACAGTTTTTAATGTAAAGTGATGAAGGAATTTCTATAAAAGGCAAATAAAAAAAACAGTTTTTAACATAAAGTGATAAAGGAATTTCTATAAAAGGCAAATTAAAGAAACAGTTTTTAACACACAGTTTTTAACTTAAAGTGATGAAGGAATTTCTATAAAAAGCAAATTAAAGAAACAGGTCTTAACACAAAGTTTTTAACTTAAAGTGATGAAGGAATTTCTATAAAAAGCAAATTAAAGAAACAGTTTTTAACATAAAGTGATGAAGGAATTTCTACAAAAGGCAAATCAAATAAACAGTTTTTCAACATATTTTTGACCAGATGCTTTTATCAAAAGTGATTCTCCAAGAGGAGGATTTGAAATCTAATTGCCTAAGGCTGAATTTTAAACTTGGGTAACTCGATAAGACTCAGGGATGGGAAATCTTAGGCAGGGGGGAAGACGAGAGGTCAAGAAGTTTCACAAAAGTGATGTATGAA